GCCCGCGGAGGGCGGAGGGCAAGCGCGCACCTTTGTTTAGCCGGTCGCGCCCATGGCGTGGGGACCCGCTCGTAGCCGAGCTCGTCCAAAGTCTCTCACGCCGTCGCTTGGGCTCGGAGCACATGGCAGGTAACTTCATGCGGGCGTTTATGAGCGGGCATCGTCTTGGAGATGGATGCGCCCTTTTTTGTCTTCATTTATAGCTGACTCTTTGCCCACCTGCCCATCTCAAATGGTGATGTTTCTCTGTCGGTGTACTTCTTCCATCATCTTGACTTTCTGAAACTTTTTTTATTGCACTGAGATTTCTCTCCCTGCCTAGATAATACGTCATAAGAAAGTGTATCTTTTAAAGTTTTTGGAAGGCGATGGAAAAGTTTGGATAAAATATGGTGTTTCTTCACTATTTATGCACTTCCATGTCATTTTCATATGCAGACCATATTTAACTGGAATTATGTGGATACATTTCAATTACAGTCATTTTGGCTATCGAAGCAAAGAGAGCATAGCACTCTTAGGATGCAGATATTTGTATATTATCACTAGAAATGTTTTTAACGTTACTCACGGGATAGATGTTGTTGCCTATCTGGATGACGAGTGCTTAATTTTGAGTGTATTCCTTTCCCAGGAGTTCCCAATGTATTTTATTAGGAGGTGATTGTGCCTCAAACGACTATCACATTGGGCTTTCTGAGGTTCATAACAAATCAAAAAATGTATGGTTTTCCCTATGTATTCGGGACACACTATGATATTTGTATTGTTTTGTCAATAGGGAGGAAATATATTAAATGCATACAAAGTGTTTTAAAAGGGTGAATACTTGCATTTAAGATATAATTATCATTCCCTATTCTTTGACAAAGCTTGAAGAGGTATCTGAGGAGGTTTGGTTTACAAAACTCCATTGTTTGCGTAGTGAATGGGACAGACTATTTACTATTTGTGTACTGTGATGCAATAGCTGTGATTTTCTTTACTGATACAAAATTTCAGTCATCTACCATAGGTCATACTATGTAAACAAGTGAGAGAGAAAGAAGCTCCCACACTTCCCCGCGAGGTAAAATCTTGATCATGAACAATTGGTCTTTTAGACTTTGAGGTAACTCACAAAGAAATACCCAAGAGTGAAAGCATGGCATTAATCTTGTCTAGACATCCTCAGGTAAAAATATTGTCATGCCTTTGCCTTTGTAAGACTTTTGATTGGGCTCTCTTGAGTAAGCAGTTTCTATGAATTGTTATCACTTTTATTTTTCCATGAGACAAGGCTGTGGTCAGTTTTTGAACAAAATGAACAAAGTTCAATAGTAAATTATTGCAGAGACGACTTCATACTTCAATCTGTTTCCCTCAGGAAAACATTTCTGTAATGCAGCCATTATTAATACCTAATAAAAAAAAGCGCATGAAGTATTTATAGATTTCTATTAAGTCATTATTTATTCTTTCTTGGTTTTTTTTATTTGTCTTATTTTGGTTTTGGTTTTGCCATTATGAATGTTTCTAACATCATCTCTCTCTCTTTTTTTTTTTTTCCCTCTTAAGATTTTATGCTTAGCACAACCATCTAGTTCAGAAGAGTCCATTGCTTTTGAAACAGTAACCTGTTACCTATCCTATTTACAAGTTATTATTCAGGATGGCATTTTCCCAAGTACCTAAATAATATATGAAAATAATGTCCATTTTGAAAATGTATCTTACAAGGTTTACTCTACAATCAAGCTGTATTTCATATTCCCACTAGAAGCTACAAGAGTCACTGTCTTCCACAATATTGGTGGAAAAAAAAAAAAAAAAAAAAAAAAAAAAGAAAGTATAGCAAGAGAAAGTAGATTTGTTTCTTGAGATGGTATAATTTTGCTGAAGAATGACAGTACTTATCAATTCAAAAAGAACCGGAATAAATGAGTTGTGTATGAATATGTAGGCATAGTAGAAGCAAAGCTATTTAGTGTATTGTGTGTACAGCCACAGCTGCCTCTTAAAATGGGAAAAATGAGCTGAAAAAAGTATTGTCATTTTAGGTTCGTATGTGTTAATGCTGGATGTAGAATAAAACACGAATTTTGAAAGAAGAGGTTTAAAGCCATTTATTGTTACTTTGTAAATCATAGAAAAAGTTACTGACTCGGTATACCACTGTGGAAATAGTACGTGAAGAGCATCCAGGTACTGCCTGACAAGCCTATAGTGTGCTCTAGGGGTACCAGTCATGCTTTTTGTCTAATAAGAATAGGTGTTAGTCCACTGGGTAGATCTAAAACCTATAGGCTGTATGTAGGCTCTCCACTATGCTTAGGATAATAAAACATGATCCAGCCAGAAGGCTGGACTGCATGCTGTAACCCCCCAGTTGTCACAGACAGCATAACACATCGTTATCATACGCTTTTTAAAGGCCATAATACATACCATTTTAAAACTGGCTATATTTGTTCTCAGTGTTCTATTTTTGTTGGAAGGATCTTCCAGAACTTCACTTATTGAATGCTTAGAAACATCTGTTTTTATGATTAAATGATTCTTAACCTATTTATAAGATTTATGTTTATTTCAACTTTTTTGTTAGCTTAAACAGCTCTCCACCCTCCATGATTACTCCAGTGCATTGATAGACAGTAAAAATGTTCTCTCTCACTCTTCACTTTGTAAAAAAACCCCATTTAGTTTTCTCTCATTTCCACTGTTTATTCAACCCCTGTGCCCCTCACCTTCACACATTTGAACTTGTCTTGGTTGCACACAGATAACCCAAATTATACACAGAATTGCAGGTGAGTATTGACCAGGACCTTGTGCTGGAAACAATACTTTCTTATCTCTCCTGGCAATAACTTTCCTGGTACAACCTACGATTACGTATGCCCTTTCCATGGACATATGTAGATAGTTCAGTTGCTCTGTCGTCTAGTTAGCCCACCAGTGCCCTGTTCAGTAATTTCTACTGATGAGCTCCAATCCACAGCAGAAATTTTTGGTGTTCCTATGTGCATGACCTTGCATTTTGCATGACTCAATTTTGGTCCATTTCTGTTATTCATGTTCTCAAAGGGGATCTTGCACTCGTTTCCTTGTGATGCTCTGATTATCCATTACATTACCAATGTTTTGTATTATCACCACTTTCCTCAGCTCCATGGCAGTTATCAAGTCCACTGAATATTTTGTGTAAGTATGCCGATGGATTATTTCCAGACTTCATCTCCTTTGCTCTTAATCCCCATCAGCCACATAATTCCAATTCCAAACCAACATTTTTTTCCTGTGTTAGTCACCTTGCATTTGCCAGCTAATTGTCACCTTGTTCAGCTTTGCTTATACTTTCTTATATATCACTCCACTGAAATTGAGAACAAGGAAGTCTAAGCCAACCCTACCATCTACAAAATACATTTCTCCTCAAGGAAAACTATCTGGTTACTGTTGCACAAACAACTTCTGGTAAAACCATGCTGCATTTATCCCATTTTTTCCTCTTAGCCTAGGTTAAAGCACAACAGGAGATAGAAAATCCAGTGAACAGTCTTTTGTTTGCCTAGAGCTTGTACACTGGCTAAAGAAGCTCAATGGAAAAGTATGTTTCATTTATTGATTTTTATTACTGTATAGGTTGGATAGACAACTAGGTCTGGTGTGGCAGTATCGCTACCTCTAATCAAAGCTAGATATTTTAATAGGTTAGAACTGCATCATTTTTTTCAGACATTTAGAAAGTGTTTTCAAGCTAGATACTACGCCAATTGTGTAGTCAGTTTAGTGCTCGGGTAAAAGGAAAAGAGTTTCATTTTGGTTAATACTGCTGAAGAAAAGGAACATTGACTCTCTTTACCTCAAATATTTCCTATTCTCATAACAACTATCCTCTCCTGAATATGTGTGTCCAGTACTAATAACAGGAGTGCAAAGCAGTACATCTTTCCTGATGTTCAGCTCTTCAGAAACAGAAATAAGTTCACAAGAATGGCAATAGAAAAGCAAGAGGAATATTTGCCATTGGTAAATGTTATTTGCAAATTCTTGGTAAATATCATAAATAACAAATTTATTACCAATAGCCTGGTAACTATAAAGAGTAACTTTCTGGATGGATTTGCTTGACTGTGCTCTGTTAAAAGTTCAATGATATTTAACAGGTGAATGTGAAATAGTAGAAAAGAGTCATTTAGAAAGGAGCTGACTCAGGAGACCTATTACTGCTACCAAATAGCAATAACATATTTGCCTGTATTGTGGGGGTAGATGATACAGAGGAAAGGATAAGAAACAAAAGTGTTAGAGGCTAGAATTTGGTCCTGTGAAGTGATGTGGCAGTTATATTTGATTATATGGGGCTTTAAAAGTCAGTTCTGCTACAGTTAATTTTAGAAACAAGTTCACTGAACTTTTTAAGAGCTTGGTTTTATTTTTATAGTACATGACTTTACATTTAAAGCAAATACATATTTCCAAGAGCCTTTCACAGAGTATTCTGAAGCTATAGAGCTTGAACACTCCTTTGCGGAGGTCAGTATGACATGCTGTGCCTGTAGTCTTGTATGAAGGAAATGAGGCATAGCAACAAGCCTTGGCTAATTTCTACATGGCCAGTCCCTGATTCACTGTAGTGCTCATGGATCTACTCAATCTACTGTGCTGAAATCCCACTGCGTTGCCTGAGTCATAAGGTTCATTCTTCTGTGGTGTCATAACTACAGAGCTCAATGGAAATCTTATGTACTAGCGAACACAGTATCCATCCTCTGGAGTTAAACTTTAAATTCTGAATGGTAATTTTCTACCTCTCTTCTTTAGAAAAGTCGTCAGTTTAAATGAAGGATTTCAAGTTGTTGGTGAGTTGCAGAAAATGTCATTATTAAATGACCAGCTGCTGAAAAGCCCATCTTGTACTAAAAGAACAAAAAAAATAGATGCAGATTCTAATAAAAAGGCCTGAAATTAATATGGATTCAGGTAACTAAATTCTGAACAAAATTATGAATTTTTATGAAGTGCAGTCGAAGCTGAAGAACTATAAAAGTGACATAGGGAAAAATGACACATAAGGGTTTCACTTGTAAACAATGTAAGGCAATGGTTAAATATCAAAATAAGTCAAAACAGAGTATGCAGTGTCC